TATCACTTCGGATTATTTTAATCCTTTTGCCGAGTTGATTTTCAACTTCGGTCTTATATATCTTAAACGCTTCCACAGCCTCATCTTTGCTTCTTAACAAATATAAGTAGAAAAACCTTGTGCAATCATCGATAAAAGTTACAAAATACTTTTTGCCGGTTCTTGTTTCCACACTTTTCATATCACATGCATCAGTATGGATCACGCCCAATGGTTCAGTACTCCTTTCCACCGAGTGAAAAGGCAACTTAGCCATTTTTGCTTCATTACAAATTCACATTTTGTATTTGTTTCAACTTTAGAATTAGGAATTAATTCTAATTTCATCAACCGTGTAATTGCATTTAGATTTACATGTCCCAACCTAATATGCAATGTATCAGAACACTCAAAGGTATAAACAGAAATAGGCTTTTTATTATCAACGGTTACACGCCTCACGGCCATTACATTCATTTTGAACAATCCCTTGTCGAGATAACCACGACCAAGAAATGTTCCATACTTGCTAAGAATAAACTTCTTAGCTTCAAACACCAGCCTAAATCCATGCTGAACAAGAAGTGATCCGGAGACCAAATTCTTACAGATGTCTGAGACATGCAGAACATCCTTCATCTTCAACTCCTTTCCAGAAGTGAGCTTCAGCACCACAGTGCCCACTCCAGCCATATCAGATGTGGAAGAGTTTCCCATGTGAAGTTTTCGACCCGTAGCAGGAGTGTATTCAGAGAACACCTCCTTGTCGGAGCACACATGACGAGTGACACCAGTATCTATGTACCACTCCCTTGGGTTATCCACCAAATTAGCTCCACACACCACAACCGACATATCAAAGTCGGTCAGTTCACCCGGCACAGGGCCATGTTCAGCAACAAGGGCACTCAGTTGTCCTTTATTTGGCCCAGCTTTCTTTGGCCTCTTGCAGTCTTTAGCCATATGGTTTGGTTTTCTACAATTGTAACAAGTTCCGGTAAACATCCAAACCTTGGCTGGCTGCTTTCCCTTGTTCTGGGTCTTCCTCTTGCTCGAGTTACCTTGCTCCAGCAAGTTGGCACGAGCTTCCATCATCGGGACTTTTCCTGATGACTTCTGGTTGTCCTCCTCGATACGAAGACGAACTATCAGATCTTCAAGACTCATCTCCTTTCTCTTGTGCTTGAGATAGTTCTTGAAGTCCTTCCAGCCTGGCAGCAGCTTCTCGATCACATCCGCTACTTGGAATGACTCGCTCAAGGTCATCCCTTCAGCATGGATATCGTGCAATATTAGCTGGAACTCTTGCACTTGTGACACGACAGTCTTCGTGTCAACCATCTTGAAGTCAAGAAATTTGCCGACGACGAATTTCTTTGCTCCGGCATCCTCGGTCTTGTACTTCTTCTCCAGGGCAGCCCAAAGCTCCTTGGCAGAACCAACAGAGCTGTACACATTGTACAACTTGTTACTAAGCCCGTTCAGGACATAGTTACGACAAAGGTAGTCACCTTGCCCCCAAGCATCGTACGCAGCGCGTAGTTCTGCATTGGTCTCATTCTCAGAAATGACCGAAGGGTCGTCTTTCAGGTATTTCACCAAACCCAAAGTGGTCTGGTAAAAATGCATCTTCTGTTGCCATCTCTTAAAGTCAAGCCCATTGAATTTTTCGGGCTTCTCAGCAGTAGGGACATGGACAGCAGGTACATGATTGACTGGATGCTGATGTTGAGAACCTTCTCCGTTGTATGCCATCAGTTCAGTAGGTTGACTAATATTCTTCTTGCGATTGTTGGATATTTGGTGTGAAATTACACGGGAATCCTACGAACTGATATGTAATTTTCAGTTCTTACAAATAATCTAAAAATAGAAAATTACAATTGAACTGAAAAATAAATTACAACTAAAAAAAGGAAAGATCTAGCCGAGGCGAGTAAAACACTTGCCGCAAGAAGAATATGCCCCGTGTGTAAGCTAACGGTTGAGGCGTAACTTCCCCAAAGATACAACGACAAACGTCTCTAAATCTGTAGCACACCAGATTTACGAGCTCCGGCAAAAGGGATCGGAATCGAGAATTGAGCACTTAGAAATAAAAGGAATATCTTAAAACAAATAAAAATATCACTTGTTTCTTTTCTTTTGATATTTTTATATCCGATATTTGGACATAAATTTATCTTTTCTTTTCTTTTTCTTTCTCTTTCTTTCCTCTCTTTTCCTCTTCTTATTTTTGTGTATTTCTTCGTACTCTATCTCAGCAAAATGAACATATTTATAGTAGAGAGAGCAGATAAAGCCTGGAGAAAGATTAGATAAATGCTGACCAGATATGCCAATGCTAGGTTGCTACGCGTTTTCTCCTTCCCCATAATCTATTGATTAATATTCTTCCATGTGATTGGGTTATAATTGTAGTAGTTGGTCTGCCACTTACAATTATGATACTAAATAATTACAATAATATTTACACTCAATCATTTAACAACAGTTATCGATGAGGTTAATGGTCCCGATGAGGTTGACACTCATCAAGTACTTCAGGGCCTCGGGTTTGATCCAGTTTTCGGAACCTACAAAGTTGTCTAATTCCACATTCTTGATTACTATACTTATCGTCGAGCCCATGCAGAGGTTTACGCGGTCCAAACCGGGTCTTGGAAGAAAATTCCACAGCCGTATGGCTTGGGATACCTTAGCGGCACTTCCATTCATATTAATGGAACACATTACTTCCTCGCCCAGGATGTTAGTTATGTCGTTTATTCCTTTAATTTCGTTACGGATGAGTTTTTACCTCTGATCACTATCCCTGAGAGCAATAAGGTGTGGAATTTTGAAACCACTGATGTAGTTCTTGCGGAGTTCAATGGGTCACTTGCTTGCATCATATATGATTTCGAACACCAGGACACAATTGGTTGGAGCCCTTCGTTTGAGATATGGGTGCGGAATTGGAGGCGATGGTATCGCGAGTCGACTCATGCCCTGACTCCCTCCGGTAGTTGTCGTCTCCGGAGATTTATGGGCCTCTACAACAATGATAAAGCATTGCTTTTGGATGAGAGCGGTGACCTACTGTGTTACGATTGTTCGACGCGCCACTTGGAGAACCTTGGCATCCATGATGATTCGACCCTTCTGAGTGTTTTCCCATATGTCCAGAGCACCACTACATAGACGTATTGCTTGACATCCATGACGTGTTGCTTTTTTTTTTTTTTTTTGTCTACTTAGTTTCTGTTTCAGAATAGTTTGTGATTGTATTTATGGTTTTGAGATACATTGTTTCCCTATGAGATATTCTGGTTGGCTTCCCCTAGGGATTTTATGATCTCCTGTTCGAAAATTGATTGTTTGTGATTGTGTCTTAAAAAAAATATACATCATTCATTGACACCCTACCCACATTTATGAAGTAGGTACAAATGCACTCAATCAAATTTTCTCAGAACCCATAGAAACAATTCACATTCAACCCAAAAAGTAATATACAAATACAACACGAGTGACAACTAGTCAACTGGAGCCAAAAAAAAAAGGGAAAGACATCCAAGAGTATCTAAAGCATAAGGAATACCCCCTAAGGATCATCATATAGGCAGTAAAACGACCACTTAGGCCTTCATGGTACCTATCAGAGACTACAAAAATAGCAAACAAGATACAAACGAACTCAGCCACTGAACCTTAAAGGGCCTAGTTAGGAACCAAAACCAAAACAACATTAGGTCGATAACAATTCTTTCCATTCTTCTAGTGCAGCCTTTACAATAGCTTTTCCAGGCAAAACTATGTGCAACAGTCGGGTTCACAGTAATGCCAACCGTGATTCATAACATAATGACTAGAAATTATGAATAATATTTCGTATCAAGTTGATAACAAATTAACAAGTATGTGTATGCTTTTACAGATAACCAGATTAGAAGAGGACACTAACAGGCCGTGCACCTAACAGACAACTGAAATTTCCAAACCTCGTTCCCATAAAACACTTTATATTCTCCCCAACGAAAAATGAACAAGAAACACTTTTTTTTGTTCTTCACCTGACAACAACACTCGGATACAAGTTTTAATCAATGCAAATTTTCAGTTAAATTATCTTGGCAAAGAACTTGGAGGGAAATTGCGCAACGGATTCTCCCTCAGCAGCTCTGTTTCTCTGAAAATGGAGAAAGCAAATAAGACCCCAAATTTAGCATTTCAAACACTAATAAGAGTCGGTAGTGAGAACAATTATTCGAAACAAAGACTGCTTCTTACTTCTTAATATCTCTACCGTCCCCAGGCCTGAGCTGCAGAGTCGAGGACTGGTCCCTCTCGTTTGCTCGTTTATGTTGTCTGTTAGGTCAATGAACATGTTCATCAGCAAATTGCATGCATAGAATAAGAACGAGAAAGGAAAATATTTTGAAATGGACGAGCAATATTGAAAGATTTTATAAGCTTCTTGTTGTAATTAAGTACTCTTTGCCCAGAGAAAAAAATGAATAAAAAAAAAACATACTCTGAGGCTTCTTCATCCACAAAGATCTCAATGCAGGGGCCTGGAGTTGGTCTTCTTATGCTTTGACCATGTCTTTGAGGAATCTGAAGAAATGATTCAATTGAGCGTAAGAAACTACACCACATCGTGATGAATGAAATAGATAATATATAAGGCTTAATAGTTTACCTTAGTTGATGTCCACTTGGAAGGGATTGCATTATTCTCTTTATTTCTTTCTGCTCGGGCACCGAGTGAGTGCCATGGTTTTAATTCAGCCTTGGACATATCAGGGTGCTCATGACTCGCTAGTGAACTGCTGCCCTTGTCTTTAAAAATGGACAATGCAGTTCCAGGAGCCCTAAGAGAAATAAACTAAAAAAAAGGTTACATGTCTTATATTATAGTAAATCATGTACAACATTTTTTGCGAGCTCACACGTCACAGATGAAAATCGCAAAACTAGCAATGTAAGTGCATTGTGTGAAACTACAAAAGTATAATACATAGATTCTACTAAGTGCAGACCTTAACCAGTCACTATTATAGAGCAACTAAATGGAAAACAAAGTTTCGAAAAAAAAAAATAAATAAATAAATATCAACCTATCTTTAATGGTCACTAATCAGATGTATGCAAGTAATCTATAACCATTAACAGTAACATTATGTCACTGAGTTAAAAGAATCTTAAGCATCATGTATAGTTGAGACTTTATTTGAATGTAATTTCCAGAAATGAACAAGAGCAGACATGCGCCCACCCATTCCTCTATACGTATAATCATTACAAATGGAAGTTTAATGTTGAGCAAAGCTAGTAGCACCAAAGACCTATGAAGTATGAACATAGAAAACATATTCTAACCTGTCTGGCTTGAGCTTTTTCCTAAAAATATCAGAACATTCTGAAGCTCGGTTCCCACCTATCATAAAAACATTAGCCTCCAAAAAACTCAGTAAGTCATCTTAAGAAACCTTTAGAAGTTATGAAGTGGATGAGAGCAGCTCACTTATTTGCCTAGTCAACACAGTCCCAAAGCTTCGAGCTGGTAAGTGGATTTCTGTCCCATCCTCCTGTTAGTGGGCAACAGTAGGACGAAATTTTTCATGTGAGCAGAATGACTAAATATGAAGAAATAGGAAAGCCATCCAGAATTTGAAACAACTTTGCTTACTTCTGTAGCTTTCAGTTGTCCCATTGAACGTGTGAGAAATTTCTTGTATGCTGTTGTTAGCTTTTCAACCGGTTGAGCTTTCCTATCATCCATAAAACAACAGGTCGGCGTCGCAAGTGCAATAGATGACTTTCAGAATAAATTGGCTGAGTAGTTCTTTGAAATAATAGGAGTTGATGAATTGCTCAGGGAAATATCTAAGGGAAGAGCTGGTTAATTAACAATAACTAATCCGCCGAGCATTTCCTCAAAATTTTAGAATTTCAGGCTACTTATATCTGACTTCCTTCCTTCATTAAACTACACACAAAATGAATTTCACTCCTTAAAGTAGAACATTTGTTTTATTTTATAATAAATTACTAATATGATATATCAATTCTGTGTCTATACAGTAGGTGTGCGGCATGGACATTAAAGTAAGAAATGCAAATTTCTTCCTTCATTAATCTGACTCAATTCCATATACCAAATAAAGAGGTAAACCATATGAAAATAATTTTACTCCTGAAGTAAAAATTTGTTTTATAGTATGTTACTAACAAAATATGCAGAAGACACCAACTCCTTGTTTACCTAGGGGGCATGGGTTATTAACATAAACATTTTCTTGACTTCAACAATGTGTACATTAATTTATTGAGATGAAAAAAACTTACTCATTATGCATATACGTGTCTTAATCAAATTCATTTTGTGTAGGAAAAAAAAAAAGAAAGAAAATGTTTAACTAGGCATTATTTATGCAAGACCTAGTACTTAGTTATTGAGTGGGCTGAAATTTAGGATCATCTCTCTAGAGCTACTCTCTATTTATCAACCGTAATCTACAAAACAATGTGGCGCCTGGATACATGATCAGAAATGAGAAGCGTATCTGGAAAAGAGAACACAAAGAGATCTTCTATATTGTATCTTAGAAATTTTTTAATAAACTACCGGGTACACGCATACAAATAGTTTATAAGAAAAAAGAACTGAGACTTACAAAGATAGCCCACGGTTGAAGATGTCGTTTGCAGTTCTATTTTTGTTCTTGTGCTCCATATGGGATGCATAGGAAATGTAAAATGATGCATGTGTTACTCCAATTTTGTTTGCCTCCAAAAAGTTATAAATGACTTCAGCATCAACACAATTTTCAGCCTGTTTTACCATTTTACATAAGCAGCCATAACTTTCGTTACAATTGATATGAGCAGAACAGAACAAAAACAGAGAATTGAAGAAGAGACTTACGTATTCCAGCCATACTTTCAGGTACCGAAGATCGGTCTTATAACGATCTTCGTGCCAAAATGTGCGTACACATTGTTCATAAATCATAACTAACCCCGAGCAGTCACCACCAGGAGGAAAGGCTTCCTGAACCCATTTGATGCACCTTTCAAAATTTAAGAAGTTCAGTAAAAGATAAAGAAAAAGAAAACAAAAACAAGTGTACTTAGTAACTAACATTGTCATTTGAGTTGAAAAAATCTAAAATTCGTCCCCTAAGCAACATGACATGAAGTAGAGAATCATCTACATAATAGCCTATATGCCCAAGTGGTATCAACATGATTCAATTTGCAGCGGATTTTGGTGCCATTTTAGTCCTGGATGAGCCCTCTCTTTCTGACCCTTGCAAATAAATGTTTTGCCTCCGGCCTTCTAAGGAAAAAAGCAGAAATCCGCGTTCCTCTGATGTAAATAATTACAGCAAGTGAACAAACAACAGAGAAATTACAAAAATAATAAAAAGCTCCATTGCTTGCAAAAAAGAAGTTACTTGCAAGTTGTAGATTGATGGCTAAAGTTGTTATATTCACTGATACAGTTCAAGAGAACGTATTTCGTAACATATATTAGTTGAAGGGAGTTCTCAATAAGTTCAATAAGAAATGGCCATCTAGGCAAAAAAGTTGAACTCCTTTACCTCAATTTCAATTATGTGACTCGGTTGGTAGATGGAATAATTTGATGGTAACAACGTTTCATATGAATTCTAATAATTGGTTCGAACAAGTTACTGCTACAAGAGCATTTTAAAGTATATAGTACTTTTGAGTTTCAGCTTCTTGTAGAGTTCACTTCCACACTTTGCTAGAAAAAGAAGGATTCAAATTACTGTCAGATGTATGAAGAAAAAATAAAAAATATATCAATCACTACCGAGTAAATACAAAACCTTCTAAAAGCAGTTTCTCCAATATATGGCCTTGGAACAGCCAACCAATGCATAACAACTTAAAAAATTGTTATCCCATTTACTTCAATCCACATGAACCTGAAGCATCAGAAATAGCAACCACAATTCGGGTTTGCGGAATGAAAATAAACCGACTGCAAACGATACATTGTACACCCAAAAACATTCCTAATCTCATGGTAATGCAATGGTCAGATGAAAAAAGGCATAAAATACAGGAACAAAAAAGTTACTAGACAGTAAAAATCACAACTCTTACTCAAAGAATCCTACTAACATCAACCAGACAACAGACCAAAGTTTTCATGTATGACAGAATCAAGCAACACGGGCAACGATTACTCACTCAATCCATGGCTGAAGCGGGTCTTCACCTGTATACTCATCGATGGCCTCTATTAATCTCCTGATTATTAATCAAAATATAATAAAAATTTCAATAATCAACCCTCATAAAATTGAACATAAGTCGAAGCATTTACTATCAAACAAAAGGATAAATAGAGACAAGGTTCAGCAAAAATCACCTCCGATGTTGGAGAAGCGAGTTCCTGAGTTGGTAATCGGAGTGGGATTTCAGGGCGCCATTGAGGAGGCCGACTTTGCGGCCGCGCTTCAAGGGACGAACGTTTTCTTTGAAGAGCTCCCACTCGTTGCCGGTCTCTTTCTTGGCCGCCAGAAACTCCATCTCCGGGTCCAGAAACGTCTCGATCGGCAGCCCATCCATAGCTTTCCCTGCGATTCTTCTTCTCTCTGACTCTGCTCTCTCTCTCTCTCTCTCTCTCTCTCTCTCTCTCTCTCTCTCTCTCTCGCTTCGAATTTGAAATTTGATTATTTGAAAGATGACCATTTATTTGAATTCTTATAGCCGTTGGGAGAAAGAAACCAACTGGGCCTGCGACTTACAAGGGACGGGCCGGACCGGGCCGATTCTGAAGTGTCTCTCACCGTGATTACAGGAAGTGTTTGTCGCCTGCAATTTTGTGGGATTCATTTTAATCCTGTTGTATTTTTTTTTTAATTATTTTTCTATTATTATTATTTTCTATTATTATTATTATTATTAAACAAAAACTGTAATTTTATTGTTCAATTGATTGGTCGACAAATTTGCTTGCTTTGATAATCCGTGAATGAGATTGAGGGAGGTTTATGGTTAGAGATGTTATATATCAGTATAATGCTTATATCTTATTCACTGTCAAATTAGAGCACATTTGGTTTTTAAAATAGAATTTGACTAATTTTATATGTTGAGGTCATATTATACTGTTATGATTAAAGTGTCACAATGTTTGTCCTGCATCATTTGTATTTTTGGTAAGATTGGGTAGAAAAAATCTACAATTGTTTGGCATGATAATAGTATAGATTAAGCCATATATTGTAAGCTATCAGCTATCGGCTAGTTTTACTGAACATAGCAGAAGTCAAACAGTTATTAGGCTGAATATAGTTGAAGACTACCCGTCAACGGGAGCCTAGAGAGACTACTAACACACCCACAAGAATAAACAAACTAAAGCTCCCAAGAAAAGAGAATCTACATGTAGGTACGGTTGGTCGTATGATCGACCAGAAAGGACTACACTTGGTACTAAAACACAAAACATTTTACCCCGGTGGACATTGAGTTGGTCGCATCATTAGGCAGTCTAATAGAAAAGACTAAGGGATGAGAAGGAATCTTAAAAGTTTAAGAGTTGGACATTGATAAGGCAGTTTGGGCAGCCCATCTGGCAGTCTTAAGCAACAAGGTATCACCTCCTTATATAAAGGAGTGAGGTATGCCTATTGTTATATTAAATTCTCTATTATTTCATGCACTATTTTCTGCACTTCATCTTCTATAACTGCTTATTTAAGCATCGGATGTTCTTCATAAAAAAACCCCTTTGATGAGAGTTTTAGAGCAAAAAAGATTTAGCGACCGTCGATAATAATCACCAAAGATTGATTTCTTCGAATTGTTTGCAATCGAGGAGCACGTCAGGAACTGCCATCCACATAATTGAAGATCTTCTGCGCATGAGGAACCAGTTTTCGCTCGTCGAAGTTCCATGGAATAGAGATCGTTAAAAAAAAAAAAAGAAAACGAATGAGTTAGAAATGTTTCACAGTAAGCCTTCAGGTTACTTTCTAGCTTGTTTAGTTGAATATGTGGTTTTTGTTTCTATCTATAAATTATATGGTTTCGAAAAAAAAAGTATACCAATTACACCTTCACTAGTGCTAAAACCAAATAAGAAATAAATATCAAAACTTAATGACGAAATAAACTCTCAAGCATGGTTTTAAAAACCGAACCGGACCGACCAGTTCAACCGGTTGGACCGGGAACCGGTCTTCATTCCGGTCTGATTTGCTACATCTAACCGCCCAACATTCAAATTGGTCAAAAACCCATCGAACCGGCAAAAACCGGTTGAACCGGTGAACCGAAACCGATGGTTCACTGATTCAAGCTTTTGAATTTGGAATTTGTTGATTGTGAAGTGATTTAATCACACATTTTTTACTTGTGTTTCTAATGTGTAATTTATTCTTTGCTAAAACTATTGGGCCTTACAAACATTATTGTACTATTAAAAAAAAGAGGAAATAGCTATTTTCACCCCATTTTGAAGTCCTGTTAAGTTTTTAACACCACCCAATAAAAAGTTAAGTTTTTCACCCCAAAAAGTACGAAGATATATGCGAAAAACTATACGATAGATAGACGACCGGTATGAGCATGGGCGAGAAAATTATGAGTTAAAGTATGCGACGAATATGCGGAGATTCGATGTACGATTCGGTCAATCACGGTCCGTCGCCCATTAAATAATTATTTTTGTTAGGCGAATGAACTGCGACTATTAGTCGAAAAAATTATTCTGCGACATACCAACGTCGCATATTATTCGCAGAATTGGTGCAAAATAAGTTTTTTTTGTATTTCTTTCATCTTTCAGTTATGCGAGGCGGTATGCGAATTGTCGCATATTGCTCGCATACCCCCTTCGCACTTCTACTGGAAAGTATTTTTTTTATTTTTTTTATTTCTTTCATCTTTTAGTTATTTCAGTTATGCGATGGGGTATGCGAATTGCTGCATATTGCTCGCATACCACCTTCGCACTTCTACTCGAAATTTTATTTTTTATTTCTTTCATCTTTCTGCTATTTCAGTTATGCGATGGGATATGCGAATTACCGCATATTGCTCGCATACCCCCTTCGCGCTTCTACTCGAAAGTTTATTTTTAATTTCTTTCATCTTTCATCTTTCATCGAAAGTTTATTTTTAAAATTTAAATTTTTGAATGGTTTAGAAACCGCTGGCAGTTGAAACGTTATGGCCGATTTCGAGGCGTCTTATCTGCTTTTCGAAACGCCTGGGCAGTAAAAGCGTGCACGCGAATCGTTTCATCCGTCTGTATAAAGCGTGTAATCTTCGATCCATATCATGCCACTTCTCTTACTACCCATCCGTCACCCAGAACTCTTTGTTAATGGCCCTTCGTTTTTCCTTTTTCTTGTATATGAGAAGCAGTTCGCCGGAGATAAACTAGAGTTACAAAAATTCTTTCTTTCGACCCGTGAGGCAATTCTTTAAGATTACTGTGTCCGAATTGAGAACTCCTAACCTTCTGAATTCGTCGGAGGAAAAAATTCAACGAGCGGAAATTCCGTTATCCAACTTTACTAACGTGGCCCCGGCAGGAAATATATATGCCGAGACAGCGACGATGAATATCAAACCTCTGGGCCCGGGTATTGTCGGATCAACTGTGAGAAGGTTGAAGGTCAGAACGGCGCATCAGCGGTCGGGGCGTAACGGCCCGGCCCTCTGTCAGAGGCAATGTTGGCCTCAACTTCTCGAGGTTGTGGTCGGCCAGGTTTTCCTGCAGAGGAATGTGGTTGGTATCGAAGGAGTTTTCCCCGAACCCGTCAGAGCCCATCGGTTGAGAGCGTGGTGGTCGTGGCCAATCTCATGCTGGAGTTCTACATGGAACTCCACAAACAATCTCCACCTACAGCTCCTCTTCTGGAGTCTGAGTGCTGTGGTAGCTCGTCGGCTCCCTCGTCCTAGCTTTTGTTAGGCTGGTCCTTCGATTTTTTTTAACTTTGTAATCGGCTGGGGTTGAAGCGACTGTAAAAGCAGTAGTGTATGGATTTCTGTTCGACCTTTTATTCTGCGAAATACAAACTTCGCATATTATTCGCCTAGTTGGTGCATAATAAGAAAAAAAATATTTTTGGAAATTTTCTATTCTCTGACACACATTGCGAAACACTCGAGTAGTATAAATGAAGAATAATTTTTTTTTTAATTTCTTTTTGGAAATTTTCTATTCTGCGAAATACAAACGTCGCATATTATTCGCCTAGTTGTTGCATAATAATTGTTTTTTTAGAATTTAATTTTTTGAAAATTCTTGTTTAGGCGAAATGAACCTGAGACTATTAGTCGAAAATATTACGCACAACAAACGCATAACACGTAGTATAATCGAAGAATAATTTTTTTTTAAGAAAAATTGTTTATGAAATTCTCTATTTTGTGAAATACAAACGTCGAAAATTCAACAGTTTAGACTATGAACCTGCGACAATTAGTCGAAACAATGTCGCATACAAACCGCACAACATTCGTAGTATAATCGAAGAATTTATTTAAACAAAAATTGTCTTTGGAAATTTTCTATTCTGCGACACACATAAATGCGACAAATAAACATCGCATAATTCATTCGCAGGTCAACCGCAGGATATTCGCATACCCACTTTTTGTGTAAAATAATTATTAAACAATTATTTAAAATATTTTGTGTTTGAAATGGTCTGATAAATGCGATTCTTTATGCGACCGTCTCACGACGGATATGCGTTAATTCGCAGGTCTACCGCAGGGTATTAAACTGCGAAAGAGATACGAAAACTAAACAATTATATTTATTTTGTTTATTAAATATGCATCGAAATTGCGAAAGTATGGTGCTTGTTACGCGAACATTACTCGATAGCTGTTATTTCACATATTTTGTCGTATAGTTTATTATTTAAAACAAACAGAAAAAAAGAAAGCAAAACGTCGCATATACGCTACAGTTGCACCTCTCAGGAGAAGAAAACAAAAAAGAAAGAGGGGCGAAAAATTTGAAATTCCATCTTCCATCTTGCGACATTAATTCGCATAGTTAGAAGCAAAAGAACTATTAGAAATTAAAAGAAAAAAAGAACCAAAAATGATGAACGAGAACGACGTCATGGCCTTCTTAAGAGATTCTGAAGATTTCACGAATCAAGCTTTTCTCGAGGCGGCCGGCCAAGCGGGTGCCCTAACAGCGGCTACTGCGGCCGACGACTCAACGGTTGCCGTAACGGGTATGGCGGGACAGGACTCAGCGACTGAAGGCACAGGTCCGGAGGCCATCTCTTTTGGAGAGGTAACTTCCATTTGTTGCAATTATTTAATTTAAGTTATTTAATTTCATTTGCTTTAATAGTTGAGAAATAGTTGTTTTTATTTGATAATGTATAAGTAATTTGATTTGAATAATTAACAACAACAACAACAATGCGATTGTTTAGGATTTGTTGTCGTACAAGAGACAGGGCCTGATCGATAAATATGAAGGGCTGAAGATCAACGTTTACAGCCGACAGTATATATGTTCTGATATCAAGAACGAGTTGGGCGTCGTTGAAGGGGCCTTGACTGCTTTCCAGGGTTCGGTCTTT